AGAGAGAGAGAGAGAGAGAGAGAGAGAGAGAGAGAGAGAGAGAGAGAAAGAGTTTTGTTACTTTACGTGCTGGGTGATTCTTCCGTTTTGTTTATCATTTTGAAAGTGCGCTTCTTTTGTTTATTAATCTTCATTACGAAATTCTTTTCGTTATAAATACAATATTGGCCTGTACGACGACAATTCTGAATGGAACGAACATTTCGAAATTTGTGCATTGATATGAGCACGACGATATCATGCAGTCGAATGGAGAAGGAGTGTATAATTTTGAGTCAACAAAATTTTGGGCTAAAAAAAACTACGCGACAACACAGCATTAAAAGCCGGGATAAAGCGCGCCAACAACATAAATAACAGCGTATTATCAAATAATTTATGAAAATTTGTCAATAAAAATGCATGTCAGAAGTTCATACTGAAAAAAAGAAAGAGGGACACATATACATGAAGAGAGAGAAAAGGAGAGAGAAACATCATGACATCTTCTTCTTTGAGATAGCACATCTGCGCTGAGTGATGCTACGAATGGAAGCAATGACCAATAACAAAACATGTATCTAGAGAAGAGGGAATATAAACAGAAAAAAAGAACGACGAACACAAAGCCGTCATTCTTAATTAATAGATTTTTGAACTGTTCGATAGAAACTTGACTACGAGATGCGTTCACATATCCGTTCCATAAATTGAATGAAGTTAGTTCGGAAGGGGAAACATTCTGACGTTCAAGTGTTGGGAAAATTGCACTTTTACGCCATTGTTGTAAGATTATCTGAATAGAGAGTTGTGAATCTGGGCACATATAAAAATTTCCCTAATAATGGTATATCAAGAAGGTTCGCCGCTACATTTGTATCATTGACAGAGAATGCGTCTCTGTGTTCATGGAACAGTGTGTGTATTTCTGTGTTTGTTACTATGGTTTTCTTTAAGTGTGTGCAGTTCGCATGTATTGATGACGACGTGTATATGTGTCTAAATGTGTGTGTGTATGTATACAGAATGCACAGCGCGCACTCAAATCATATTTGGGTGTGTTCACTTATACACAAATCTTGAAACAGCATGCGGTTTTGATAGCAGCTAAATTGTCAATATTCTGGATTCCATTGCCTGTGTACTGTATTTTTTTGCTTCTCTACTTCTACTCCTTCTTCTTATTCATGTTCCTCTCATCTCGATTTCATAATAAATTTATGGCAGATAATGCAATACAAACACACATCTTCAAATGGTTTGGGCGAGGAGTTGCTTGTTAACGCGCGCTCTCTTAAATGGGTGTATTTCCAATTAAATTTGATGAATTCTGGCACACACAACAAACCGGCTATACATGCTATATAATGTGTAGTGTGGCAGGACAACAATTACCAGCAAATAGTTTTAGTTCATTTGATATTTTTGTTGCCTTGTATTCATTTATTTCAAACATTTCATCGCTTTCAATTCATACCACCAATAGATTTCGCAAAGTACGTTACGATCGAAAATATGAATATATGCACAGAATTGATGCACCAATCTCGTTTTGTCTGTGGATTCGATCGAATTTTTGCTCAAATCTACCAAACGCCTTGGTGGAAAAGTGTAGCACATTGCAAAATGAAACAGATTTGATTGCGATGGATCAGGTGAAGCGAGCTACAATCGGAATATGAGAATTGGCAAACGTGAATGCATTGATCTTGCTCGGCGTTGATACTATTGCTTTCCGTACACATACTCCGAAATATCAGAGGTTGGTTGCACATAAATTTATTTATATAAATTTCAAATATCAAATAAATTTATCCGATATTTTTCATGTGTCGTGTTGTTCTAACGCATTTGCCAGCTATTTATTGATGGAATGAGATTTTCATTTTGTTCATTTACTGTTATTTGTCAACAATTCTGCCACTGTGTCACCACAAAGTATATATAGTCCATAAGAAATGTGCAGAGACGAGAATGTTCGCCATTTAGTTTTACATTGGTTATGGAGATTTTTGTTTTGTTTATTTTTTGTTGTTTGTAAACAAATCTGCCTATCTTTTTGAATTGCCACTGTACATAGTATATGTCCCTAAGAAATGCGTAGAGACAATGCAAAAAGATATGCAGATTTGTTTACAAACGACAAAAAATAAACAAAACAAAAATCTCCATAACCAATGTATTGGCAATGTAAAACTAAATGGCGAACATTCTCGTCTCTGCACATTTCTTATGGGCTATATATACTATGTAGTGACACAGTGGCAGACTTGTTCACAAATATCGGTAAATGAACAAAACAAAAATCTCATTCCTGCGATGAATAGCTGGCCGCCAATACAACAGCCGATGTTTCGTTTATGTACTACAAATGCGTCAGAAAAACATAGCGCATGAAAAATATCGGATAAATTTATTTGATATTTGAAATTTATATAAATAAATTTATCTGCAACCAACCTCTGCGAAATATCGTGTGTGTGCCAGTCTTCCATTTCGTGTCGATTTCGTGTTGGTTGGTTTTGATTGCGTTGCTTCTGACTGTGCGGTTTTATATGTGGAAAAAAACTGCGACAGCCATAAGCTAGGGGAATATCACGCTCCTGAATCTTGTGAGATATTTGAGATATTTGAAATAAACATCAATTGTATGACATATTTTCGAATATTTCGAATAAATAAATCAGATTTTTGTGAACTTTGGAGATATTTGAGATTTTTTGCATTGAATCCGAATAAATACATTTAAATATCATTCATAATCACAAAAATCCACAATATTCCGTCGTATTCACAAATATCCACCATATTTCATACGACAGATTCTTAGAGATAAATTGGATTTTTTTGAAATATTTGAAATAATTTAAGCGTGATATTCGCCTAGGCCATAGGTAAAAGGGAACATCGCACGCAAACACAACATCATGTACCAGATAGTGTCGGCATCAATAGTTTTGACCACTTGAAGTGCCATTGTCGTGTATGAGTTTTTAATTGTAGCGAATGATGTTCATTAAGTTCGCCATTCTTGCTATATAAATACTTTTTTTAGTTTATTCGTTCAGTGTAGCAGCAGAAAAAAACTCAGAACTTTTGCGTACATCTTACAATGAATGTATGAATAACTTGTTCTTGCTCTGACTGTCATCAACAAATTTACAAACAACTATGACACTGAAAGCCCTGGCCCAGATCATTCATTGTTTTTTGTCTGCCAAAAAACCGTGTTCGAACAAAGTGCAATATGTTTGATGTCTGATGGCTTTTTCTGCCAAGATATTGCTCATTTCAACCTGTTGTATATATTTTACTGTTTGCATGTTTGCGAAAGCATGTACATTTTTCGGTGGTTGAATATATGTCAAACGATAGAAATACCAAAATCCATCGTCGCGTCCCTTAGCAAAAATCTGACCGAAAATAGTTTGTCAACAGCATCGTCTGCAAAAAGTTTTCCACCCAGACATCGTCGGTTACACACAAAAAATAAATTCCGTCTTATTCTGGTGTTTATAATATATTTCACACACAGCACCCATGCGTACACTTTGCAGAAGCAATACGAAACCAAATGAAAAACAAGAAAACGACGAATGCAAGAATAGAGAGAGAGAGAGAGAGAGAGAGATTGTGCGTGCGTGTGTTTGTGAAAGAGAAGAAAGAATACGAAGAATTGGCTCGACGAGAGGCACAAGTGAATGTATTGTACACTCAGTCAAAAGAAATAAATTGATGGAAAAATTCAAATCGAATACGGACAAAGAAGACAATTCTTCAATCTCTCCAGTCGGAGAAAAAAGACAGGGAGAGCAGCGTGAAATGTTGAGAAAAAAAATATCGGAACACATGATTGCAGTTGTTGTTGTTGGCATTTTTTTTCTTCTGCTTAACATCAAAAGAGAAATTTGGAGAGAGAGAGAGAGAGAGAGAGAGAGTGAGAGAGAGAAAGACAAATAATATACAGCGTGTAAGTATAAAGGAAAATTGTGTGCATACTCGAATGTGTATGTGTGCGAAAAATATCTTTGGTTTCTTTTTGTCGCTTGCTTCAGTTCAAATGACTTTTTCGGTGACTATTTTACGGTCTTTCCCTTCTTTTTCCTTTCTCTTTCACATACATGTGGCCATTCCAAGAACATTTTAACATTCACGTTTGGGTTTTGAAAATGCCTGCATGCTTTTCGCCTGTATTTGGCTGTACATAGAAAAAGTAAATCATGGATGGAAATGATGCGCATGAATAATATTCAATATAAGTTCTCTCTCTGTGTGTATTTTTTTCCAGAGGTATATTTGTTGGATTTCCATTTCCAATGTAAGGAATGTGTGTGTGTGTGTGATCGTATCCGTGCGGCAAACGGACTGCATGCCATATATGTTCGGCTCTCGGCATGCAATGTGATCTTCAGTGATCTTCAAACGAGCGTTCCGGGTTCAAATGATGAGTATATACATATATATGTATGTTTTGTTTTGTTTTTAAACGCTACGAATTTTTACTCGGCGTCATATTTTGCCTTTTCTTCGAAGAAAATTTATATACCAAAATAAAAATACACACTCAAAATTGAGTGATGTTCTTGATGAAATCTCAGAGAGTAAGAAAAGAGCATTTTTCATCTTCGACTCATCAGCACACAATATCCATAAAATGAACGAGCCGCTGAAATGGGTAATGGGATATCATTCATGTGCACATTAAAAATAAAAGAAGAAACAAAACAAAAACTCCAATTGAAATAAACAAACCAAGTAACAACAACAGTGCACGAAAAAAAATGGAAATCAAATAAGCAATAACAGCAATTGAATTGTTATAGATTGTCGCACACAACAGCGCAAATACACAAGTCCATGTACATGATTCCCAATTACAATTTACTTACGGATTTGTATAAATGGTGTGGTGCTTGGATGGAAATGGTACTCTTTCTGTGAAGCATGCGAATAAAACCAACAAACAAACGAAACAAAAAAACAACGCAGCAGCAGCACCAGTAGTGACAGCAACAAAATGTATAAAATAATACAAAATCAAATGCCCAACAACGACGACAATAATAACTATGAAATGCCGTATAAGAAGAGTGCTATGCGAAAAATATGCACAGCATAGCCAAGCGGTGAACGTAGCGAGTGTATTGAACGAAATCAACTCTAATTGGTGGTTCGTATGGTATTGTTGTCGCCGCCGTCTTCGCCTTTTTTCCTCTCACTCTCGACTTTTCTCTTTATCTCTTAGGCAATCCGTTGTTCCCGCTTTGGGTTCGACTTTGGATACAGCGCGAGAGAAAACCCCGAAAAAGACGCACAGTGCTCTCTCTATGTGTATATATTTATGTAGATAGATATATGGATGTACATAGGACTCTACATTTAAATATATATGTATGTATACATTTTCGACTTGCGCATATGTATGCGAGTCAGATCTCTCGTATCGCATGCGGTGCGAGTTAAAGGCGCGGCATTTGGAAAATGCTATGTGCATGTATGCAATGAGTCACACACATAAAACATAAATATTCGAGCGCACTCAGCAACTACGGGCAACTGTACTAAATCGTGTCGTTGACAACGATACATCACTGTTGTTGCAGCATGTTACTTTGCAATCGTTGTTGGTTTTTTTTATGCAAAAATGGATACAAAAGATTTCGTTCATTGTTCTATATGAAATTTTCCGCAAATTAAAATTGCAATTTGAAAAATTCGCCATCGACGTCACATAAAATCAATTCGAGGCACCGTCAATGGCATTACTTGACCAATTTCAGTGTAATTAGGGAATGAGCAAGAAAAAGGGTAAATGTGTCGTGGAGCATGTGAACGGTGAACGCGAGCACGAAAATGGACGGATTTTTCATATTCTCTAATTGTAGCATATGTACATGCTTTACGTGTGTATCGCATCAAACGACAGCAAAACAACGAACACTGTATTTTTTTTTAAACTAATAAGTTTTTCATGAAATTCATGCTTGAAAAACGCTGGCACTAATAAAGCTTAAAGAGTACCGTACACACAAGTCGCACAGCAACAATACAATTTCCACATTCTTTGTATATCTATCTATCTACGTAATGTATACAAATGAATCGATATTGCTTTAGCCTTTTTCACTTTGAACTGATAATAATTTTCGTGGTTGAACAAAAAAAACGAACTAACTAACAACAAATCACATTTGAAAGTGAATTTAGGGGACAGTTTCGTTTGCATTATTTTTTTCGATGAACATAAATAGAGGGTCAACAATATTCACTGCCATTGAACCAAATGATATTAAGTTGCCGCGCAAATTTGTCCCTTCAAATGAATTTCGGCCGAATGGAAAACAACAAATAAAAATGAAGTGTGCGCGCTTACATTTTTACTGTTACTCGAGTCATTTTGCGATCAATCAAATTTCTCCATTGCTATATGGCTGTTATTCGATTAGTTATTGGCGAAAAAGATTATTATAGGAATACAGTTTTCGAGCAGCTATCCGAAAGTGAGTGAACGCGTTGTAATTTTGATAAATTTAAATTGTTTAATGAACTTCCTCTTCTCCACTATTTAAAATGCGTTGAGTAGACGTTTGTTGTTTGTCTAACTGTTTCTATGTTGTTGCTGTTTATTTTTTCTTCTATCTTTCTTGGAAAGACACTGAATATGGGCGGTGAAGCGTGTAAATAACAGACAAATTCTCAATCGCCTCACCATACATTAAATTAAGATGATAAACCTCTTTTTGAAAGAATTACTAGCATTTTTTGCATCTCCTGTTATTCAAAGATGATTATCATCGTTGCTTAAATTATTTCGGGCGTTGCATATTATACATTATGATTAGAGGTGCTTGTGTGTTCACCGATACACATGCAAAAACGTCACAAACACGCACAAAATATTGGAAAAGACCGCTTTCCATATAACTGTATAAGTGGCGTGGTTGTGGAAAATTCTCCATTGCCCATAACATTATGATTTTGTTGCTATTGTTGTTGTTGTTGAAAGAAAAAAACAAGGAATCGGTTTAAACTTTTGAAAACGATCGCATGAAAATCGCCCAGCGATGGTTAAATTTGAATTTTCCACAATCGCGAGAAAAAAAAACCATGTATCGAATCAAGACGAAGCAATGCGACCACGAGACCAAGTCTATTGAACATGTGTATGCGTGTGCAAAAGTAAATGAGAGCCAATGTGTGCGGTTCCAAAGAAGAATAATGAAAATAAGAACGAGTAAGAGAGAGATAGAGAGAAAGAGAGAGACAGATAGAGAGAGAGAGAGAGAGAGAGAGAGAGAAGAAAAACGTCCAAGAGTACATAAATTACAATCTTCAATTTCTTTTCTGTTTGCTCTAAAATTGTTGGCTAGTCTTTCGATTTCATTTCTATTTTCCAAATCGTATGATCTAGTTAAAATGAAGTCAAAGAAAACAAAGCAGCACCCAGCTACAGCTACAGCTTAGCACATAATTGTGGAATCACAACTAAAATTTATTAAATTACTATTTCAATTTATTGTTTACTGGAAAGGAAAGAAAGAGCGGCAGTCAACTCCCTTTCTTTCTGTTTCTATCTCCCTCTATCTCACTTCTTATCGGATGCACACACACAGACAATGTGTGCGTCAGATGCGGAAAAGAGAAAAAAAATAAGAAGAGATAGGCGCGCACAATTTCATTTCTCTCTTGTTATTTATTGGTTTTATGTTTTATTTGATTTAATATCTTATGTTTTTTTGATCATGATTTTTCGGTTGGCCGTACCGTTACTGCTTCTTCATTTGTGTGTTGTTGTTGTTGGTTTTTCTTCAATTTTTGCTATTGTCTATTAAACATTTCGTTTTGTTTTGTATTGTATTGTAACGATATTGATTTTATCTTTTCTAATATTTTAAATGGGTGAAAAAAAGACGTTACTTCTTAGCTGCATGCAATGTTGTGGTTTATGCGTTATTTTTTTTCTTATGTTTGCTTCTCTTGATACAATAAATTTTTCTTTCCCAGACAAGAAGCAAAACACACATGCAGCAGCAAGAAATTCACCAGCAAAAATAAATAGAACAAATTTCTAATCAAACTGAATATGAATAAATACGTGGAACAAAAAAAAAGGAAATTGAAAACGAATTGCCCGAACGACGTTAATTCGGTAATGCTTTTAAATTTTATAATTTTAAAGTAGCAAATGAAAAAAGAAGGAAAAGTGTTTATGTTCATTTTTAACTGCTAATGCGAGTCAAATAAACAACAACAGCAGTAGCTAAGAAGATAGAAAATGCAACCAAAAATAGAAACGGAAAGAAAAAATCTAAACGATATTATCCAAAATCGAAAGAGAGAACCAACACGAAATTATATACTAATGACTGTGTATGTGTGATTTCATTTCTTATTCTTCTTTTTTCCATGACATGCAATTTTTTTCCTCTTCGTTTCGTTCAATTTACCTCGTATTTAAGTCCAGCAAGACGTAGCCAAGTCTCAACTTTGAGACAATATGGTGATATCGATGGCAAAAATGGGGTCCTTGAGAACTGATACAAATAAATGACATCCTTTTCGAAGTCGGCTTTGTGTACCGTTAGTTTTGGTGCGACGATTTTGGCTGGGGTAGCTGCGGCAGTAGCATCGCCAGCACTTTCGGCCGTTTCGTCAGATTTGACTGGTGCGTTTGCATCGCCATCCTTAACGGCCGCCACGACCTCTTCAACCTTCTTTTCAGCCGCTTCTTTTTCTTCCGGAGCTGGTGCACTGACTGCTTGATTATTTGCCACTTCTGCTGCCATATTTACGAAAAATTCCTCGGATTTACTCTCTTTTTATCGCGTGGAAAAAACCTTTTTTTTGGAACAACTTTCTGAGCTGTTGTGAAATTAGTCAAACACTTTTTGTTTTAAATCAATCAAAATGTGGTTTTGATTTGTATGTTGGGCGCGCACAGCAGATTTTATTTTTCCTTTGGCGTTCGGTTAGCGTTTTGGCTTGTATGATCCGCTCTTGTCAGAAAAAGCCGATTTTTATCGAAATATGGGATTTCAAAAAAAAATCTTTGTACGGTATAAAATTCAACACGGAATGGAATTTACGCTTGCTGGAATAATTGTCGATACTCAATGGCGTATTTATTGCTGATTGGTATTTACGTGATAATTCATTCAATTCTCTTCAGACACACTTTTTTTCATTTAGTTTTAATCTCTTAAGACAAAAAAATATATAAACGAACACTTGAACAGTTAAAATATGACTAAAGTCGCGCACTCCAAACTTGATTTACATTCAAATGCAACTGAATCGATGTTTCTGTTCCAAAAGACGCTGTGTAGACGCAAAACCGGTGGCGTCCTTTTACCAATACATACGCATCCGCTAGCACTATGATAAATTGAAGTATTTGTATATGTATTCACGCATTGATGAGTGTTCGATGCCATTTTATGATTGTAGTGGTGTGCAATGCCGAACGCATACATGTTCGTCGTCATAACACGTTCGTTGTGTGTGGATTGGGCGAGCGTGGTGCTCACCAATGCTGCTGTCTTTGACCGTGCGTATGTATATATTGTGTGTATGTAATGTCGTTCGCACGCCATTCGTGCAATCACAATGCGCTTGTCTATGTATATGTGTGTGCGCGCGTGTATGTTTGTGTGAGTATTTTAAAGCAAACACATAACACATGAATCAAACGAAGCAAATGCATGACGCTCTGTCGAAAACCCATATGTCGTGCCCCAAACTTCTGTGTGCATGATATGCGCAGAACATACAATAACGAACTTGATTTTTTTTTCGTAGACTATGTTCAGTTCACACAGTCCTTTCTTTGATCGTAACTACCAAGCTACTATGGGTGTGTGTGGTGCATTCCAAAATGGTACGTGTGTGCGTATGCGCACTTTTTTATATTCAACTTTATTATGCGGCGTCGTATAAACATATTTCCGAAAGAAAGAAAAAAGAACCAATGAATTAAGAAGATCTCCAAAAATTGTGTTGAACGTATAAAAACGCGCTACGGCTAAAAGGCAGGAATTGAGATCAACAAAGACTGAATAGCATAATGCACATGTGAATGTCCAACTTTGCAATTTGCCGAAACCTGAATTAAGCGAGCAGCAGGAATAGCGTTCTGCAACATAAATTGCTGCGTTTGTAATCTTTAATCTTCTGTTAATTGAACACTCTTTCGTTCTATGCATGTTTGTGTTCGTATCGATATGAGTATCGTCTCCGCGCGATATGCACTATACCGGACGACCGATCTTAAATTGTCGCTCTCTGACACAACAACTCTTGTGGCATATTGATATGGATTGGTTGAATGTCTTCGACTTAATGTCTGAGTATAGAATGCTCTACTGTTGTTGTTGTTTTTTGTGTAAATTGGCCTCTCGTCTGTCATCTCATTCGATTGCTGTACATATACCAATGTATATCATAAATTATTATATTGAAACCGTCTCTTCAAACACTGAAGATGCTGCAGAACTGTAGACGTTATTCATGCAAATAGCCTATTTGAAATAGTACTTCAAAGTTTTATGAATACTCGCATTCATTGGTTAGTATTTTATGAAAATCTACTCTCATTTTTCATCGTACAGAAACAAGAATGAAGAACAAAACAAATTTATCAAGATACAGCACAGCGTATGAACAGAATCAAATTGAACTGTGAGTTGTTGCTTGAACAGCAACAAATTTTTTACACTGTCGATGCGATCATTAAATAGCTGCTGAGTTACGAATTCGTTTTGTTTAAACGCATTCCACATTTTTGTTTAGAATAAACCATGAACGTCTTTGTAAACATTTAAACCATAAATTTTTCCATTGCCATTCAATACACCATAAAAAAAAGGTTCGATGCGTTGTTTATGTTAAACTGCATACCAACGCCATCTATTAGCTTCTTAGATTCTCCAAATAATTTCAATGAGTTCCGTTAATAAGCGGTTCAGTTGATCGATTTTCAATATCATCACAGCATTCACACTGAACCTAGCGTAAATATTTTCCAAATATATCTGATCATAATTGTACGCTGATTTTCATCCAAATGTGTGCATTTAATAAAAACATAATACTGTAATAAATACTTGAGACAGATGCCAAATCAAATTAAATAATTATCATCGAATCAACAATGAATTACATTCATATTCAATTTAAAACGAGTTATTCGGCATGCATACGTTATTAAATTCATTTTGTTACTCTGATTTGTCATCGGATACATACTCTCTAGTCAATTGAGATAAGTATTGTAGTCTGACATTCAGATGATTGACATTCACACTTGAGTAAGAAAAAAAAAATATTTCCACTAAAATCATCATACAATTTTGAGATTTGAAATAAAAATAGTCTCCAATCAATGTTTCTAGCATAAGCATTAGCATTCAAGTGCAATAAACAAAAATTGTATGTACGCTGTACGGACTTCGGGACCGATGCCATGTTATGTTATTGTCTCAGAATAACCAATGAGAATAATGACATACTTTTCGCTCAAAATTCCATATAGTGTATATGCGTGAAGGGGAATACGGAATTTCGAACGGTACAATGACGAGGACATTGATGATGATGCTTGTTTAATAGTTGTCATTTATGAAAAGTCCCAAAAAACCACTTTAATTTGTACTGTAACGCATGGAATGTGAACATGAAGTTCAAACGAAGACACTGTGTTAATAGTTCAGGCATTATTCAGCTCGTCATCTAATATGCATAAACATAATATCTATTGGGTCAAATGTCCACATCATGCCAAAATGCCGAATTGTTCAGAATAATTTCATTCCACTTGAACCGTATCGTAAACTAGCCCACACAAATTAAGAATGTCGAAAATGCTGTAGTACGCAACTTTGAAATCATAAATTGGGTTATGTGTGGAATTATCATCCCGACAAATTGTTAGCTACAACGAATTTGTTTTGTTTGAACGAGTTAGAATATACATATGCATATGATACTTCCCAGAAAACCTTGAATCCACTTTATTCAATGGCTCATCGACGCCGAATATTTTTTCCATCATTTTTTTACAATTTTATGAACATTTTCTGGAAATCAGTATGTGTAGCATCGTGCAATTTGCATCACGGCGATTCTATTCGATTTAGAATATTTATATTCTTTTGTTGTGTTTTCTAATCGAAATATTACCAATGGATTCGCAATTTGGCAATTAGATGAACTCATTTCGAATTCGAAACGGTGTTTATGTGCATTGTACAATCAAAAATAGTATCAGATGCCATTCTTAATAGGAATGCATCGTATTTGTTAAAATGCTGTAATGTCATACCGCTGCCTTCTGAGTGTGTGTCTCATGAGTATGGTTTTCAAGCGGTCGCAAACATTCAACACATGAAAAAATTGGTTTCATCGACGCATTTATAGCAGCAACTCTCGTATTTCATTTCATTTCATTTCATTGAAAGTGTGTGTATGTGTGTGGTTAGAATTGGCCAAGATAAATCAAGCAGCAAATATGATATTGTGATGGAAATAGACTATCGGAATTTTGGCTGATATTTTATGCTGTGCAGTGTGCACAGTGCACACCTCGCGAAAACACCAAATTCGAAACTCGTTGCTGCGACAATAGCTGTTCACAAAGTATAGTGAACTTATAGAATGACTGGATTTTCTAAGCCACAAGTTCAGTGTGCACAATGCACATTGTTATGCAATTGATTTTGACTTTGGCATTTGGTTAGAAACATGGCATGAAAATGGCGAGCAAAGATGTGTATGAGGCAAGACCAGAATTAACGACAACATTTACCACTACCATTTCGGTGGGTAATAAAAGTATATTGTGACGGTACAGAGACTGCATGTAAATGGAAAATTAATGAAAAGCCGCGAAATGATCTAGACGGAAAAAAATCCAATCCGAAGGGCACCATTGAGCAGCATTGATTGAGCATTCAATGAACACGAACATAACCGTTTTTGCTCACTATTGTTACTGAAAGTCCCGAAAGCAAATGGTTTTCAATTAACATTAAAATCAGATCATAGCTTCGGATTGTGATCAATCACACACTCAACATCAACCAATTAGAGACATTACTTCACATGCAATGCAAAGATATTGTATATTTTCGTGCATCATTTTAATTGTTTGCCACAATGTAAAGCAATCACTTTAAAATATGCAATCCTCATGTCGATATTTGTTTTGCGTGAGACGATACATTGGACAGCAACCCATATTTAGTTAGCGTGAGCCAGTTGTTCGGGAAATGCGCTCGCAGCCATGCATGCTCATGTGTGTGAATTATATGTGTACGTATTGACACTTCATCACTCTCCTTCAACAAATATATGAAAAACGGATTCTCTTTTCGGTATGGAGAAAATTCAACAGGTATAACCATTGAAATTGCTTTTTTCGTGATATCATTGTAAATCGAACCGATTTACATTTGTCATTTATATTGGATTTGGACGCATGTATCGCAACGAAAATTATGTACGAAATTCCAACGGAGTAGCTAAGAACAATTGGTATATACACATAAGTTGCAGAGACTAACAGTTGCATTTCGTTGTTGTCTAGCGTTCGTACGATGAACAAGTATTTACATGAGATTCATATCAGTTTCTGTGTATTTATGTAAGTACTTTTTTTTAAAGTTTTGATGTTGTCATTCGCTTTGTCGCTTCATCTCCATTGTCTCCATAGTCGTGCTTTTTGAACTGAATGGATAGATACACGCATTTCGCATCGTACGCGTGTGTTCTCCTCTCGTATCATATCCACTCATAATACTTTTCTAAATGCTGAAGAAGCCACTGAACTGTTGGTTGCATCAGCCATTCATATCAGAAGCAAAACATATTTGTAGTGAATGAGAAATGACGCTATAGTAACGTATTTGACACAGATACACCGCCAAGAGTCGATAAAAAACTGGATAAATGGAAATATTTTCAAAATAGAACGTTTTACGGAGATATAAACGGTGTTGGACGCTTTTTTCGTCATCATTTCGTGGCAGAAAATTTTCCGGATTTTTTCTTTAACGCAATGTGATAAACCACATAAACTAACGCGATTAAATCGAATGGCCAGAAATTCATTCATATGAAAAATCCCTATCAAAAATGGTTTGATATCATGAGAGAATTTGGTGTCGATTGTAAAAAAAGCAGTAGTATTATACACATATAGTAGCGATTCGCATCATTTCACATTCATCCATAGCCGTTTATCGAGCCGTTAGTTCACGGGATGGATTGTTGCTCATTTGAATATATGTGTGCGTGTGTTCGGCGTTGGTTGTATTCAATGCTCATGATACGCATACACA